AATTGTAGACTATAATTCAAATTTTAGTATTATACATTAGTTAATTTCATAATTCAAAAGTAAATATTATAAGAACAAACCTAAATATTGATTTTTGTGTGTCACGTGGTATGTTGAATGCAGCATTGGTTTAACTTAGATGTGCGATGTCCAAATACAAAGTTTATAGTTTCTGATGAATTAGGAACTCAAATTACAAATATTGACAAGCTAGAATATAAAATAAGAACCTCCTAACTTTTCTATTTTCATACCTATTACCCCACTACTACTTTTAAGTGTTTACCTAGTTTCTAAAACCCATTTCCTTTTCTGTTGTAAATAATACAGTCAGAGAGAACTTTTGGGAATTTCTGAAAGATAGGGTGTGACAGGTAGGGATGGGAAAAGGGGTCTGATTTTCAATTTTATTCCCGTGTAACCAAATAAGGTGGAAGACTATGAAAATTATGCTTTGCCTGAGTGATGACATTATAGTAAGTAATTTACTTTAAGTTTTGTTCTTTTCAGTGGGGTGGTAAAAAAATTAGAGAAGAGGGGATGCTTAGAGAACAAATGTCACATACTAGAGAAATTCAGAATTTTGTTTTAATGTTGCATTATAAAACTAAGAACTTAATGCTTGTATAAAAATTTTGATTATTAGAAACATTTTTATGCCAAATTTATTCATATAATGTGATTAAAAAAGTAGTTTAATTACATTTTGAATGTAACTCACTAAAACCTTGTGACATGCACAGGAAAAAATGCCCATGGTGAGAGGGTTGGAAGTCACAAGCATGGGGGAATCCATTTTGACTAGCCACATCATTGGCAAGAAATGTGTGACTCATTTTTCAAAAACAAAAAATGTTTTTCCATATTTTGTGATCTCACTGGATGTTTTATTCAGGGTGCATGCACATCCTTGAAATTTAGAATGGAATTTCAAGGGCTTGAAAGTGTTTAAAAAGAAGGGACCTTTTTATTTTTGCAAAAGTACTTGGAAATGTTATAATAGCAGAATATATTGATATATCTAACTTTAATGCATGTTGTAGAGTTAAGCGCAATAAATAGTTTTTTTTCTTTTTAGTCTACATTTATATGATGAACAAAAAATTGGAATTTCATAATATTTCAGTGGAATCCAATTGATTTTGATGTAGATTTTAGTTTCCAAAAAGTGTCTGAAAAACATTCTGAGAATGCTTAGAAAGTTCTTGAAATTGATTTGAGCAATTCAGTATGAACTATGTTTCTTGGTAACATTGCAGGTGTGCTGTTTTGAACCCTTGCTCTGACTGAATCTCACTAGGCATCTGGCATATAGGCTGGCCTTGTGAAGTGTGTTTCTAACCAATGGTACACATGTTTCAGTCTGGGAGCAGCTACCTTACATTTGCAGTGAGCCATCTTTTAGTTTTGTGGATGAAGATCTGCCTTGTCCAGATGTTCAAGCTCTCATAACTGTCTTGTGTAATTGAATGGCTTCCATTCTTCCACTGGTTATCCACATGAGTGGAATATCCAGATATCTTTGAGGTTTATCAGTGCCTCGTAAGCACTCAGGAGCACTTTAAACTTTGTGAAGACTTTCAGAGTGAAAACTGAGATGAGATTGTTTGAGACCAGTGTATGTAACTTAAGCTGAATAACCAATCATTTGCATTTCAGATCACATAAATGATCATCAGATATCTGATTTGCTGCCTTATCTATGTATAATATTAAAATTCTGATTATTTTTGAATACTTTTAAGCAGAGTATTAAAGGAATTATCAGGTAGAGATTTTGTAAATTGTATGGGTTTTCACTTAGTGAATGAGGATTAGAACACAGTTGTCATAACTTTAGCTTTATTTTCACTTTTCTATTTCAGGCTTTGATATTTTTTGGAGAAACCTTCCTGTGTATGAATTGGCCCATTGTAGCTGATATCTTGCTGGTAATGTATATATAGTGTAATAAAAAGTAATTTCACAATACATGTGGATTATTAATATACTGTAGATAAGAGTTTTTTGTTTTTTTCTAAAGTACTGAGCTGATATGTTTATGTATAGAATGTACATGTTTGTGTATTGTTGTTGCAAAAGATTACAGATAATGTTATATGATATTCTAAATGAAATGGAAATGAATATCCATAAGTACAAAACTTCAAACATGAGTAGTAAGATATAAGGAGAAAAGTGTTTTGTGTGTCTACTTTGAGCAAAGCTTAATTTATAATGGGGGATACTCATATAATATTTAAAGGTAAATATATTAAGGAAAGTAATTTTTAAGCACCATAAATTGTATTCATTATTTTCTGTGGTAATATGAGAGCTATAGTAAAATTTCCTAACCCCTAAAGTGTAGCCTTTTTCTCAAAATGTTTTTCTTTGAAAAGTTCCATGGCTGTTCCATTGTTCACACAGAATGCAATGCAATAATGATGGAAAATATCAATATTTATACTTATATTGCAACATTTATAGTTATCTTTATGTCCCCATGTGGGTCAATGGTGAGTTTACAGACATACATTGCTAAAATCCAAGTAGACAGAGTTCAGATAGCTTGTTATGAAGCTTTGCACTAAGAAAACAATAACAGTTATCCTTATTGTCTGTACCTGTTTTATTTGTGTAAAACAGAATATTAGTTTTCTCATTTTAATAAAACCATATATAAAAGGCTGTTGATGCTAAGAAATATACATTGTTCATACTTTTAGTTTTGCAAAAGACTATACAGGTGGCATAAATATAAAGATACGGTAAAAATGTTAAAAACTAATAGACATCATTGATAATGATGACTGGATTGAAAAGTTTGATATTTGGAAGACCAATACAAGTAGTGCTCGAAAACAAATTGGATATTTTCTTTCATATAAATTAGGTATGAATAAATAGCAGCTGCTCACTGCTAGTGGCATTATGTTACTTGTTTCCAAGATGGTATTCAACAAGCTGCCAGTAGTATTGGCACAGAACAATGCCCTGTCATGAAGTTTTGATAAGGAAGGGTTTGCATATGCTATCGTTTGATGCTCACAAAGCTTGCTTGTACATTACTCGTTGATCATCCTGACTTGATAATGACAGGTTCCATACTAACCAATAACCAGCGAAATCTTGCATATTGTTCTGACCTATCACCAGGCATGAGAGGAATTTGTCTTGAATTTTGTTTCAGCTTCTGCAGAATGAATACATTTTATTTTTAATGAAAGGCTGTGTTGTTTTATGAAAGTTACTGTAAAAGTTATTAAATTTTGCTTAGAAAATAATAAAGAAATGATAATTGAAGATCACAACACTTTAACTGTAACAATATCTAGATGTTTGATAGGCTATTTATACTTTTATAAAAAAAACAAATAAATATGAAAAATTTACTTACCATGTGAAAGACCTATTCAAAATATGTATTCACCCATGCACACATTAAAAACTAGTATTTATTTACATCATGATGAAAGAAAATCTCCAAATCAAATCCACTTTCATTATAAGTTATTAGTTTTTAATGATAATATATTGGTAGCTAACAAATTGTATAGGAATAATAAGAAATGTAATTATCATAGCAACAAACTCTGCAAATGCATGAATATGAACACAGATGTAGTTATGTTATATACATCTGTACTGTTTTTAGGGTCTCTGTAGTGTATTATTATGCTAGTGCTTTTATAATTGTTACAGTGTGTGACATTAGGCAATACTTTCATTTTGTGCATCATTTAAGTTGATTGAATACCATGTGAATTTTTTTTTTTTACGTGTTCCACAGACATAGTGTATTCCATGTTTTTTCATCAAAAATTGGTACCCACATACTCTGTTTGGGTTTGCCTATCACCCCATGTTACCCTTTTTTTTCTCTCAGCTACACTCTTTGTAGATAATCATATTTTGAAACCACACCTGTATTTCACCAATCTGGGATTGTGAAGCTAATGGATAATGTTGAAAAATGATATCCCAATCCCCAATTGGTTGAATATTTGTTTTTGGTAATCTGATGTAGTTGACTTAAATAAAATAAAATCCTTGTTATTTAAACTGCCCTTATGCATAGTTAAATTTAGACACTACTGTAAAATATCTATTTGTACATGAGATTTCCTTGATCTGAATGTATCTTTAACATAGAAGTTATTTTGAAATGTGTAAAAAAACATGGAATGGATTGTCATATATTTTGTGTAGTTTTTGTATCAAGTATTCATATTCTTATTTTTCAGTACTGTGTTATACCAACACGAAGATCAATGGCTGAAGCTGTTCAGATTCTAATTTCCCACATGCTCGGGGATGCTTGTTCACCATATATTATAGGAGCAGTAGGTGTTAGTTTTGGTTCTTCAGATTTCAGCTGCTGTTTTAAAGTTAATAGTATACAAGTTCACATTTCTTTTTGGTTTCAACAAATGTAGATATTCTATTAGATTTTTTTTTAAATTTAATGATAAATATGTTTTATTACTAAATTGAGTTTTGCTAGTGTGTTTTTGTTGATGAAGCTGCTTTTGATGTGTTAATTATGCCTCATATAATTGAATTGACCCATGACTTGCAGTCTGTTGATTGATTATTTCATTATCACAAAAGTATTGCAGAGGCTATGTTTATGTTTCTTGCAAATAGCAAGTGGAGATGGATTATTATTATTACTTCTTCTAGTCTCAGCACAGACAAGTGTGTACTGTTCATAGAATTTGAAATGTACAAGTTTTTGCATAATATATGCTTAAATGGCATAAAGTTATAATTGAGAACAAAATCAAGATGTAAACAAAATATTTACACTTATGGGATTTCCAACTTAATATAAATTAATCATACTTTTACATCAAATAATTAGAAAAGGCATTGTTTAATGCAAATATATATTTGAAGTAGGACATGCTTGAAGCATATAATATAGGATCTGTTTCTTAAAATTAATTAAACATTATTATTATTACAATATTTTTCTGTCATAAAAATGTTTATAAATATGTTCTTGCCTTTATTTTACTTGGAGATTGTATCTCAAATGGCATGTACTGGCACTGTGTGTGGTAGTTTCAAAACCTCTGTTTATTTGCACAAGCCTCTATCAATCTATCCACAAGGTCATGTGTCCAAACCTATGAAGTAAGCACTTGATGGTCAACTGAGTCTTACTCTGAAATGATGCAGATAATATTTCAGTGCATGTTTAAATATTTAAGTGTACAGTCTTGCCCTCTTTGCTAAGCATTTAGGTAACAAACAACAGGATTTAGCTCAAACAGAGAAAGACCTGAAATCTCAAAACTAAAATGTTTGCTTTCCTAACTTATTTACTGACAAAGCAAACTATTTCATCACATTTGATGCTGTTTATTTTAAGTGAGTGTTACTGTTTTAAACCCTTCCGCGATTTCCTCGAAAAAACTTGGGCACCTTCCATGTTTCAAAATATATTTTCTTGAGTTAATTTTTAATAATTTGCCCAAATGTATTTGCATGGTGTCCTATATTACAATCAGTGCTCACTAGGTGGCATTGTAAATGCTGTTTGTGCTGATCTCTATTTTATTTATTGTGAATTATGTATCATAAACAGTGGAGAAAAGCATTCCTATTCTTTACTGTAGTTTCATGGAAATAATGTATATCACATATCAATTCAGATATGTAATATTTATTTATTGAGTATATATTGTGCAGAAGTATAATAATAGATCATAAAAGAAATTTTTTCTTTAATATATATAAATATAGGCTACCAAAAAAGATATTATAAAAAAACCTGAATTGTTTTTGCTCATTTCATTGACATATTTAGGACGTTCTATATCGTAATAATGTTATTGAGTTCTTAATTTGTACCTGCTAGTAATAATGTGTAATCCAAAACTAACCGAGTCAGTTCTGGGTTACATAAAAAATTCTTGTTTGGAAAAAAAACATAATAGTATTCCAGAAATATCTTAAGTTACTTATAATGTCCAAAACATATATATAATACACACTTCACATTATTGTGATACTTTTCATACCAAAGATTTTGTACAACCCATGGGTTATGTATAATTTCAGATTTTTCAAAAAAGTATGTACATACTCTAGAATTTCTTTTCTTTAATACTTGTTTCAGAGAAAGAAGAAGTTACTTATCAGTTAATAGACTTAGATAACTAAAGAGGCAATGATTAATATCCAAGCCCCACAAGATGTTACATACAAAGTGAATTTTATACATTATATGTTGCTTTATGAGTGAAATTTTAAATTAATGTGAAACAATTATAGAAATGGTAGTTTTTGTTATGCTTTTGATGTTTAACTAATGTGGGGTCTAACATTTATACTTAAAAATAATTATTATGAAGTAAATAAATTTCACTAATTTTGTATGTACAAGTTGAGTTACAGTTTTATTTAGAAGCTAAACTCTTGTATATTGTGTCCATCTCAGTTGGATAATTTTTTGCTGAAACAAACAGCATACTTTTAACTGTCAGAATTGAGGAAAGTATACACATACCTTCCATTTGTCTGATTCTCATTGAGATAAAAGGGTGACCATGAACCTAGAAATATTGTGGAATTTGAAATAAGGATCAAACAAGTCAGAAAGAATTGAAAAATTATGCTCCCCTCTTATTCTCAAACCTGCATGTTCATGCAAGCTACATTACTTAGCTATGCTAATTATTGGTGTTTTTTAACATAATTTTGGTTAGTCATTCAGTGTCATTTTATCTAGTTATAATTATCTAAGTTATTATTTTTAATGATAGCTTAGAGTAATTATTACCCCCTGGTGGTACAGCAATAAATCCTAAGGGCTTATAACTCTAAAAATCAAGTTTTGATACTTGTGATGGACATGGCACAGATAGCCCATTATGTAGCTTTGTGCCCAACTACAAAGATGAATTTTTTGGGGTATATAAAGATGCAGCATTTTACTATCTACCATCAAGTTGTAGTGTCCTTGTTTAATAATCTTCTTCTGTACTACCATACTCTAAGTATGTTTTGGGGATTTTATAATCAAGCTAAAAGATAAACTTTTGTCTATATATTTATTTAAAAACTGTGTTCCAGTTTTAAAGGAATTGGATAAAGCATGTTGAATTAACCATCATTTTTGGTGAGATACTTTAATTCACTGTAAGAATATACCATTAACTTAAAGGTTAAGGGTGAGTCCACATCTCTAGAAACTTACACTTTGTATTGATGCACTAGTAGGGTTGCTTTACCAGCTTATTATTTGTTTGTTATCATAGATCTCAGATGCTGTAATGGACAATCAAGTGGAAACTGATCTAGTTAAATTCACTAGCCTGCAGTATGCTCTATATACTACAACTTTTATTCTGGCCATTGGAGGCTTATGTTTCCTTGTTACAGCCTGGTATATTGTAGAAGATAGAGAAAGATGTGACCGGTTGACGCATGGTAAGCAACTTATTTTTCCCTTTAAGTGTTTTAATAAGTTAATGATTGTGTTATGGTAGGCTGGTAGTTAAGTTTTAATGTGCATTTTTGTAGAACTTGAGGGAGAATTATCTCTGTCATGTTAGAAATTTGAATATGAACTCTGCAACATTACCTTTGAAATGACATGATAAAAGCTGAAGGCAATGCATTGTTTAATTGTTTTCATTATAGTGGATTACCATGTGTAGGTGAATCATTTAGCAACTTGTAAATAAAATTCACTGAGTATGCAACCCATTTTTAGGGGCTAATTTTGAAGTTAGGCATAAATAATCATGGAGTTCAAACTTTTTGGCTGACAAAGTAGTGTTGAGAAGAGAACTGTTCTATATTTGTTATTGAAGTTTCATTTCAAATAAGGTTTTAAAAGTGATGTAGCTCTTTAAAATAAATTAAAATTGCATTCAGAAGTTGAATTGCATGATAAAATATTACTCCATTACTTAAAGTGGTAGCACATATAGTTTAATCTTACTTTTAATTTTGAAAGACTTAACTGATGCTGTTACTTTCAGGTAAGGTTTGTTATGTGTAAGAACATTTTGACATCAGTGTTCAGAGTTTGGAAAAATTATATAATTAAAATCTGTATGTAAGCATGCAACAGTGGAAATTATCCAATGAAAAGTTATTAATTCACAATTATGAGTACTTACCTCATAAGATAACATAGTGATGGTCAAGACCATCAAAAAGTGTTGGCTTTTAACAAAACATAATATATTTTTTTTAGTATAAAAAGTCCAGGTTTTATGAATTTGTGTAATTTTTCTGTAGCACATGTTATAGTGCATTCTAAATGTATCAAGCATTAGTTCTTGTTTCATTGTCAGGGTTTCTTTTCTCCTCCTTCAACAGGTGAGGGTGGTACTCCTTCTACTTTTCCAGATGACACCAGTTTACCTAGTCCTGTTGAAGGTGGAGAAGAGGAGCCTGATGTGGGTTGTTCAATTAGCGATGAATGCAGCTTGATCAGACAATAATCAGACAAGATTTCTACCATCAGAAATTCTTAAGTTAGCTGTTGTGAGAGTTTTTAAACTTCGACTGTGACTTTTGATTACTAGGCAGTGGAAGATTAAGCCATTGGAAACATCATTATGTACATGTAATGACTGTCAAGAGTTAATTGGCTGAACATTTGTTAGTTGTTCTGAAGCTACCATAAACTTGACAAAATTAGTAAACCTAAATTGAATAGCTGTAATAGGTTATCCTTTTCGAATTGAAATCTAAAAAGTTGCCTATTCTTAACCATTTTTTTTTGAAATTTTAAAGTTTATTATCTTGAATTACAATAGAAGTACAAAGTAATGACTTCTTAACACTAACTAATTTCTGAGAGCTTATTCTGGCCAACTTGCAAGTTTTTTCTCAAACTAAGACTATTTCCATCAAAAGCACTAATAAAACAGTAAAAGGAAATTGGAAGAAAAATGAACTATGTGATTACTGGAAGAGTTATCTATCACTGCTTATGTTATTGTAAGAATTATCTATTAGAAACTGTTACTGTAACAGTTATCTATCAGACCCTCTATTAGGATTATTGTAACAGTTAAATATCAGGCTATTGTTGAATAGAAAATGTTTTCACTTGCATCAAAAGACAGTTCTTCTATTGACATAAATTTATTATGTCAAATAATGATAAATTTGACTATACCTTTAAGCATTTAGTATTACCAGTAGCAGAAAAGTTTTAATTATTTCAAAACATTTCTTACATTAATTGCATTGTAGCAATCTCTTTTTCTTTTGTAACATTTTTTTACATTAATTGCATTGTAGCAATCTCTTTTTCTTTTTATAATACTGTTATTTTGTCTTTAGCTGTGCTCTCATATTATTTTACATTTAAATCATCTACTGTAAACTTTGTTAAATGAATGAAAATTTCCAAAAATATAAATTCTACGTTGCAAAAATTCTGTGGTTTCAACTTTAAGAGTATTCACATACTATACAAGGTTTCAGCACTTCTAAAACATTGGTAATTTTAACTTAACATCTTGTCGTTAAGATTTTTGCATGGTTATTTTTTTTTTTTGTATCTTATGTCAGGGTGAATAGTTATGAAATAAACATTGTGGGTTTAATTATAGTGGTATTTGTGATTTGTAGTTATATGGAATCCTGGGTTTTTGGTTCAGAATTTATACATATGATTGTATTGAGATTTGTATTTTTAAAGGAATGACAGCTATCATATGAGCAATTGTTTAACTGCATCCTTCCATATAAATTTTATCTTTCAAGAAAACAAAGTACAAAAATTTCCAGAGAAACCAACTCATTACTATGTTTGTAAGTTCATTATTAGTAGCAGTTTGTGTTAGAAGCTGTAGATATTGTGAGGCTCAAGAAGACTCATTCAAACAGCCAAATGTAGCTGATGTTGTTCTCAAGTTCATGATAAAGAAACTAAAATCCAGTAACTAATGTTTTTATAGTTTAAAAGAAAGCAGTCATCATTTTAAGATAGCTTGAAACATTTTTTTCTGCTTTCCTCAATCATGAGTATAATATTCTTAAAGAAAGTAACCATTACTTATTGGATACTATATGAAATTTAGCCAGATTAAATGCAGTAAAGTTTTGCATACTTTAACTATTATTGATTACAACAAATATATATTGTATTATTAATATTAGAAGCATGTTTCAACATCATGAGGATAGAATTAGACTTTCAAAGTAAAAGTTTTTGTTTCTTTTTCCATGGAGTCAGATTATTGCCACATTAACTTAAAACTAATTTTGTAAAGCTTGGAATATGCATTTTAAAAAATAAACTTTTTGTCTATATAGTTTGAACCTTATTATGTTTAAAATTACTTTTTGTTTGATAGTAAAAGATTTCATTTTCCAAGTCACACTCTTAGTGTTTTTGAGAAAAAAATCCAACCTCCAGATCAAGTAACCTCTGATATCCTTTCACATTTACATGTAATATAAATACAAGCATCAGACTTCTCTTTTTTTTACTCTTCTGATAAAATGACACACTTACTATACTCCTTTTCCATAGATGTGTTTATAAATTCATACAGATAAAACATTCAGTATGTGAATTCAATAAATACTGTTTGTAAGAAAATTATTGTCAATCTGATTTATTATTATATTTTTTTATTACCTGCAGCATTTCTTTGTACAATTTATGACTAATAAAAAATAAATTAGCTTCCTAGACATTGATGTATAGTTTTGTTTTCTCTCTTCAAAATTAATATTTACAGTTTTGAATTGCTCTTGACTCTCACATCAATAATATAACTGAAACTTTTCCCCCTTCCACATAATTGTAAGATGAAATGAAGTAACTTCACTAAACACCAGATTTTTAGAACAATCTTTGTGGATTGACAGTCTAATCAAACATAAATATTTTGTATTTGTAACTTGGCTCAGAAGGAACAAACCATCACCAAAAAATACTAGACAGAATTAACAAAATATTTTTGTCGTTGTTGAGTAGTTTAAATGTTTTTAACTTGTGATCAAAATATAAACACAAATTACAGATGTATAATTTTGTTTGTACCAAACCTTTCACCATACACCTTTAGAGGATGATTTGTAGACACATTTTGATGATGGTGTGCATGTATTTAAACATCTGTTTGAGAAATATGAAGTTTTACAATCAAGTAGAACAACAGCAAAGTAACTTAAAATTAGTCATTCCAATATAAGGAATATTTTAAGAAAGTTCATAATTGTATTAAATTTCTAGAATCCTCCAACCAGTTCATGCTTAAATAAAATATTAATCAAGTAAACTGCATATTAGTAGGTGTTCAATTAACATGATAAAACCCACAGTAGAAAAATGTACCCAGTTTCAAACTTACTTCTTGATATATATGTGTATATATAGATTGTTGTCATATGCATACTTATAACTAGTGGTAGGCAAAGGGTGTCATGGTAAAAATGTATTATATCTACATCTCTTGATTTTAATAAAGAATTTTGTAACAGAACTGAATGGCTTAAAAAGTTTTAAATCTATAAAAATTACATTGCTATTTATTATGAAACTTGTATTTTTACCGTAAATTATAAGAAGGAAATTCATCTCATAGTCTTTCAATGTTTCATGAATATTTATGTACTAACCCCTATTTTTAAGTTTTAACATTGATTTTATATCCAATTAATCCTGTTTGAGCAGTGGTTCCTGATGTGATATAATAAAACATAAGACAAACAATTTTAGGTGTAATAACCATTTTTAGATTTCATGTAAACAAATATACATAAGTTAATGTATTACCTTGCGTACATAAGAGCTCAGCTTAGGTGAGAAGAGGTAAAATGTAACTGACTCAAGTAGTCATAACCTCATTGAAACTAATTGTTTCAGGTATTCTGAGGGTACTATTTAGTTATTTTCAATGAAAGATCAAAATATTTCAGACAGTAAGTGACTGTTGCTTTGTTTTCCAGTTTGAAAAGCACAAATGTTTCCTGTTGTCACTCAAAATTGCCACTTGTGATGTGTGGGAGTAAAATGAGTTTGAAAGTATTTATTTTGCATCCCACCTAATGTTGATTAATATGGTTTCCCTCAATGTTTTCCACTTAGCCCGTTATTGATCAACAAGTTGCTTAAGTGGAATGTACAAAAACTGCGTTCTGACCATGCCTCATTAGATTGGCGAGTAGTAACCCTAATTAGTATGTAAATATGCTTGATGCACTTGACTCAGCTTAGAAGATAGTGAAAGTGAGTCAAGTGGTGTTTAAATGTGTGATGATGAAGAGGTAATGAGACAAAAGGATGCTTGCTCTCACTCTAGTAATGATAGCCAAGAGGATGAACCTGGACCCAAAAGAGGAAGGTGTCAACAATGGGAAACATTTGTCCCAGCCACAGTGTGACGGGGTGGGAGCACTGGGGTAATATATGCCCCAGCCACAGTGAATGGATTAGAGAAGAACAGAAACCTGTGCTGCAGTTTTTAAACACCTGATGCATGAAACAACATAGGTCTTTAACTATGCAATCTAGTTTTTTGAAATTAGCGTATTGATTATTCATCTTCACATAAATCTTTGTCATCGTTACCATTGGATTTGCTTCCTCCTTTTCTGATTCCCACAGCATGTTATCATCCATCCCATCCAATAAATTATATATACAACATTTTTTGAAACCTTTAATGATTTTTAGTGGTAGCTTCTAGTAAAATACCTAAAAAAAATGAACATGTGCAAATATAATACACAATTAATTTTTAAAGAGGTGTATTGAGGAAATAAAGTATGCATTATTTTCAGGCAAATATGGTAATTGGTAAATCTATTGATTAGTAGAAATGCTTTTCACCTGTAGGTATCATACTTCTGTATGTATCTAGATGATATGTACATTCAGCATCGGAGTAAATGATGTGATGCAGTGTGCGAAGTGTAGAATAAAGTGCAGTCTAAAGAAGTGATTAACATTGCTCTCAGGACAAGAAAAATGTGGAAGTGATTTATCTTTTATGAGTTTGTATGCATTTTTGGTGTTCAAAAGTTACATTTGATATAAAACTTTGTTGTCCACACATTATTTCTTACACATAATCATTACATTTTCTGTCAAATAACTATTCATCAGTTTCTTAAACAATGCCTGTTTTTGCAGGGCATTTTTTAACACATTCACAACATCGTGTGCCACCGGTGGTACATATGCATGTTTTCTGTTGAGCGTCGTGAGCCACCATGGTACACAGCACCTATAAGATATAACTATACCTCATATCTCCAAAATCGTGTAAGAAGCATTTATTTTATACAAATTACTATAATAAAGTGACACCTTCCATCATGTACCACTGGTGGAGCACAGATGCCATGTTGATAGGACAACTGAAATAAAACAAATTTACACGATTAAATCACTTTGTATTTCAAAATTACATCTAGAGATTGGCATTAAATGTTTCACTGTAATTGAAGCAAAAAAACTGAGACTTTTTTTCATAAAAAAAAGTGTTATGAAGACTGTAATATAATAAGGATAGAACTACTATCATCCACAGTAGGGATTATTTTATCAGATGCTCCTTTTTTATGCCAATAAAATTGTGAAATATTCTTAATTCTTCTAAAAAATGGCAAGATTAGGCTGATAATAAAATTAAATATTACGATCATTTGATTATTATTACTTAAATCATTGTATGCACCACCAGTGGTGCACTCAAGAGAAAGTTCCCAATGTGGCCATTCTATCACAAAACATAACATAAAGCCATAAAATTAGCTGTATTTAAGGCAGAGTTCATAATGAGGCCTTACGTTCCTACTGCATAATTAGAGAAATCACTTATGCTAAAAACGTGTTAAGCTATGTAGTGGTGGTGCAATTTAAAATGAATTATAAAGATACTCAGTAACATGCATTTTCTCTTACCTTTAACAGCTTGTTTGGTATATTGCAGCTCACGGAGACAGAGCCATTTTGATGGATGCAGCTTATGTACCAGATTACAGACACAACTTCATGCACAGACAGTATGGTTCCCAGCTACAAGATTTCACAGTGTGGAATGATTCTCTACATGTGTAGCACCAAGATAGTGATGTGTTATGCCTGACTATAGTAATAACAATTTTGTTAATTTATTATTTAGTTATCTTATGAAATTGGTTGTTATGTAACACTCATTGATTTTCAGTTCATTTTAACTGTTATTTATTGTGCTATATATGTGAACTGAAAACCATATGTCCTGCTTTCTTTTAACTCTCTTTTGTCAGCGAAACACAAGTGTTTTGAATTTGCAAAAATATCTTATCCATTCCTTATATTAGAACAGTGGCTAGAATCTCTAATGACATTAATTATTTTGAGTATACACACAAAAAGGTGATACGACCAGTTTTCATTCCGACAAAACTGAAAATGTCGTATAGTAATATTTTGTAATAGTTGCCATAAATTAATAATTTTAAGCAGAATTGATCTACAAAAAAGAAACTGAAAAATAATCACTTGTGTAGGACAAGAACCTTGATTTCATAATTTTAGTGTGGCATGCTCTAGACCATGCCTGGGCCCAAATGATACTTAAAAATGAAAATTATGGGTTGTTAGCTTTTATTGTTGTGCAATTTGCAAATAGGAAAAAATTGGTCATCAAAATAAAATTTTATTATTATTATAATTTTTTGAACAACGCAACTAAACCATGTACAAAAATATTTCAAATAACATAATTTTAGTTTATTGTTAAAGTTTATATACTATGTGATATTTAGTTAAGTTGTTGGATATTTCAGCAGTCCTACAAGGACATTCTTCGCACGTACATTTAATTGGTAATATAAACTTTGAGTTAGAAGAAGTTTCTGTTAGAACTATCAAATTTTTACTAATATGCCTAATACAATCTTAACTGATAACATCTAAAAGGTGTTAAATGGATCCCAAGGTTAAAGATTAGCAGAGTGGTTAATAAACCATCAGGTCCACATTATGGTCTAGAAGTAGTGATATTAGTTGTTGTTTTTTTGCCAGATCAGTATTTAATTTTATGTTTGTGAAGAAAATAAGCTCAAATTTAAGCGTGATATAATAAAATACTTACATTTTCCAAACATAAATTATTATAAGTGAATCCTTTATGCTCAGCTCTTTGGTTTTAGAAAGTTACATAATAAAAAATAGAAATTAGTTTAACTGAACCAGTTTGGAAGGTCAGTAATAAGACAATTTTGAGGAAAAATCTGAAAATATTTTGTAAATGTAAACATTGGGGAAGCTTTCAAAGTAAAACAAAAACACAAGTTTTATACTGGTTTTAGACTAAGAAAGTCTGTGAACTTAACTGGTGTGTTGGTAGCAAGTGTAACTATACTGGTAATAAAATAATTCAATTTGGCCAGCTTTACATGGTGAAATAATCCTGTAAGATGTGGTGTCTATAGAGTTTAACAATTTGGCTTTTTACGTTTAAAAGGCAAATTGATATCCTCTACGTTTAATAGAAGTAATATGGAAAATAAATTATTGTTGGCCATTCAAAAATCAGGAAAGAGAACTTAACATACTGGCCAGCTTTACATAGTGAAATAATCCTGTAAGATGTGGTGTCTATATAGTTTAGCAATTTGGCTTTTTACGTTTAATAGAAGTAATATGGAAAATAAATTATTGTTGGCCATTCAAAAATCAGTAAAGAGAACTTAACATACTGATTTTCTCTTTCGTTTAACATAATTTGCTTTATTACACTACTGTATATCAAGTAACCAGTTCCTACTTTAGAACTTGTATAGATTATAGGGAAGGCAGTTAGTCAATAGCACCTACTGCCAACACAGGTTACTTTAATCATATAGTGGTGAATTGTGTTATTTTGCAGCAAGGTCCTCATCTTTCAAAGAAACACTTTATGCAACTTTGTTCATAATTGCAACAAGAAAGTGCATTTTGCAATCCTAATAACCCTTTTTTAGTTCTTTAAATTGGTTTCACATTTTAACAGACATTCACTAATGCCAATACTAGAATTTGTTAATTATTGGAATTGTGTAATAGGATTTTGAGAATTCAGGAAAAAAGGATGTTTCAAAAGTAACGTATGTTGTTCAAGAAACCAATGAACAGTGTTGTGAAACTGAATTTAGACTAATTTGATCGTGCCAAATACAATGTACACATTGCAGTAACTTGTTCAAACTGCTGACATGGCTTTTATACTTGTAGATGCCACATTGTGCCTATAACATCACCATCACACACACTGCTTGTTGTCAGTTCTACCATTTCATGAATGACCTTGTCTTCAAGAACTTAATATCCATTTCATAATCTTCTTGTGCAACTAAACACTTTTCTAGAACCTATATCCAATTGGGGGAGGAGTTTAATATTTTAGTTGTATTTCAGTAAAATCTAGTTTTTGTGTTCAAAACAAACTTAGAATCATTGTTTTAGAAAAAACTTTAAAATAAAAATGTTTTACAGCATCTTGTTCTGCAACCTAATTTGGGAACTGCTGACCTTCATGTAAATTGTATTTGTTAATACATAAATAAGAACACTTATATTTTTTTAATTTTGTCTTGTATTTGTGAATTAAAGAACAAATGGGAAAATAGTATAATCTAGTTTATTCATAAATTAAACCAAAGCACAAATTCTCACAACAGAAACAAAAAGGTTTGCAAACAGTTTTTATTTTTCACATTGCCCTCTTAAAATTTCATCCTGTGAGGGTACATCTTGTTTCGGAGAGAAAACATTGAACCAAGGTATGCAAACATAGTCTTTTTATCAGGATGCTTACGTATCACGTCCAGTAACTGTTTATCCACCTCTATCTGGTCCTGCTTTCTCTGCTCAGATACGCTATACTCCTATAACAAGTAAAGACTGTGTCATATAACAAATTACTGGGGATCTTCATAACAATCAATTGTAAAAGATAAAACTTTCAAGAAAAAAAAATCACAACCAGTTTTGGCATTTGGCCTACATTATTTGTTTTTCTTTGTATACAAAAATTTAGCCAATATAAAGAAATTCTTTATCTAATACTTAAAAATATTCTGAGAAGTTTTTATTACAACAATTTCATACATCCCTTGGATCAAAAGCTAACTAAAACTAAGCTATTTTTCTATTTAAACATTTAGAAAAAATTATAACCCTAAAAGTAGCTAACATTATTTGTAAAATTAAAACTTGCTTTCGCCATTTGTCAGTACTAGTGACATGGATATTGGTATACAGAAATTTCTTAAAATTACTGAAACATTAAGTTATAATAACTATAAATTTTAATGAAAAAAAAAAAGGATGTAAAGAATAAGAACAAGTTCAATTCTTAAAAATATAACTTTAATGATGCATATGCATCAACCATTACATACACAAAACAAAAATTTATTAAAAGACTAGAACAAAATATTAAGAGCCAATTGTTTTTTAACTTTCAGCATGTGCTCAATCTCAAGGACCAACCTTATAACCATTTTGTGCTTGTTAATAGTTTTCATGCTATAACTTTTAACTTAGTAAGTCTGTCTTAACAAAATTTTGCACATTACAAGGCTTTCGTATGCAAGGTATCAATTGTTTTTTAAATTAAGTTTTAAGAATTTGAAGATATCTTTTCTCATGCCTTTTTTTTTGGAATGTTGACTAACCAACATGCAAAGTAATTTTAAGATTAAAAATACTTTTATGCATCAGAAAATTGAAGTTACAAACTTTGTACTTATTTGCTGCTTGCTGTAAGTTGCTAAGCCTTATCAACTTTTGCATGTGGAGGATGTGAAATGAAATTTTGTGTTTTATATATACATTTTGAAATAACCCAAAATCATAAATTACCATATCAATACCACAGAATTCCACTATAATTTATCACATTTCTAGCTCCCTAATGTCTTACCTTACCACTTGGAATGTTGTATAAAAAGAAAGTTCCATATCTGTATATTTCCAAAAGACTGAAAAAGCTACTAGGGGACATTCTGAGCTTTTGATTGGTTATTCACACATCATAGACAGAAGTAGGTGTACATAAGCATTTCCAAAAATGGAAAGAGACGGGTGTGGCCACTGTGTTTGAGTCAGTAAATGTAGTGATATCTCAGCAAATAGAATAAACAGGAGGTTCTTATTTTATATTCTAGCTTGTCAATATAGGTAATTCATAAGCAACTATAGACTTTGTACTTGGACATCACAAACATCTAATGTGAACCAATGCCGCATTTAACATACCACATGACACAAAAAATCAATATTTAGGTGTTTTTTTTAATATTTACTTTTAATCTATGAAATTAACTAATGTATGATACTAAAATTTGAATTATAATCTACAATTTGATATCAAACTTATTGACATAAATTTTGAATGCAATGACACGTCAATAGTATTAATGATTTTATTAAGATGTGAAAACACAGACTAGCCAGGATTTAAACCTATGACTGTTTACTGGGCAAGTGCTTTGACCAACTTAGTTACTACACTCTGAATTTTCATTTCTCCCATTCTCACTCCACTTGTTGAGAACAAAATTTGGCAGAACTATACATTCATGTCAATCAACACTTCCCACCTCAAGGCAACCATAAACAGATCCTGAGTTTTAAAAGTAGATTGACATGGCTCAAAAAATTTGAAATTATGCTTTAAAGTCATGGGATTTGAGATGTAGCAGCTTGCATGCATAAATCATCTGTCTGGAAAAATCACAGATTCCAATCATGTCCTATCTATTTTGTAAATAAGTAAACATTTAGGACGATAAGACTATTTGATATACATACTTCAGGCTTGGTATCAAAGATTTCTCCATCATCCTTATTGGGCTTCTTAGCATGCTTACGACGAAAGTATTTGTCAGCAATGTACTCGGGTACCTTCACTTCACTGATATCCAGTTTCGTGCTAGTAGCTATGACATAAATCTGGTTGATTCGGCGAAGTGGGCAAGAGTTCACTTTGAAAGGACCTATATACATATTTAAAAAATGTAAAATATAGTTTCAAAATTCAGTTATCCAAGGAATGAAAATTAGTTAAAAGTATAGTTTCTGACAAATAATTTTTATAAACTAACACCAATAGTCTTCAAGGTTTTACTTAAGAGTATGAAACTAAAGTTTCTAACAATTACTATCTGGCATATTTGGGTGCACAAGAATAGAAAGTTCTATTATAAGTCATGAATACATACTTAGTAAGAGCTCAGCCAAGAATAAGGAATAAATTAGAATTCATTCATCCACTTCTGATTGGTACTATACGTGAAACAGTACCTTTTAATTCAGACATGCTTCTTGCTTATATTACAACAGATAAAGTATTAATTAATGTGACAACATATTCTGTAGTAATCCCAAACTTACTTTTTAGTTTAAAGCATTGAGGTTGCATAGATAATAGCTTAAGAATATGTAAATCTATTAGTCTATAAAATGAATACTATAAAAATTAGTGAAAACATTAAACACATATGCACTTTTTACTCAAAACCAGTTTTAAAATTACACATCTTCCCATACTAAACTTACAGCCAGTTAAATAATTTCTGGCCAATATATACATGTGTGTGTGTTAATAATTCAGGGACACCTGAGCAACTTATACAGCACTAACCAATTACAATAAACTTTTCCAAGTACATTTTCTCCTTAACTAATTGTTTTTTCTTTTAGTTATTATTATTACTTATAAAGTTGATAACATATAAATGTAAAGAAACCCCAAATAAATAATTTAGTTTTTCTGGAAATTAACCCTAAACTCCAATTTGTAAAACTTTGTTTTTCTTTGATACTAGACAAAATACACGATTCTAAACTAAAAATAAATATTTTCAGACAGGTACACAACACTGTTTGATAACCAAACACCTAACTTCATACAAACTCATCAAACATAATAAGCTTCTCTGTAGCTAGAATCCCAATATTTTCCTGGAACAATTACTTGCAGGGTTTGATTAAACATGTCTATTTCTCACATAAGTAATATTCAAATGTGTTTTTTTTTTCTGTCTTTTAAATCCCATTCCAAGCAATCTTATTATTAAAATATACTTTTAAAATATGCAATCATGATTAGGATCTTAAATATTACCTTACTGGACTACTGGGAAAAAAAACCCACGATGTACACCTTTTAACTGACCACCACAATGAATCTGTTAACAAATTCGGTTCTTCATGATTTTTATTTTTTTTATAAAGCAGATAGAATTATCATTAACTTCTGATCAAGGCAAATTATAATGTTTATATAATTTAGAATTTTAACAAGCTCAGTAAAATTTTAAAAATTCTATCATTTCAAAATGGATTTATTCCAGTTATAATCTAGGGACTGAAGGAACCCCTCCTATAGAAAAAAGAAAACAAATGTTTTCACTAGAAATATATTGTAAATGAGATTTTTAATATATTTTGTACGTGACACATCACTACACAAAATCAGTCGACTCTCTCAACATGGACACCGACAATTTGACTGACCACATGAACTCTTTGTATACATGTAAAGTTTTTATAGATTTAATACTTCTAACTTTCAATTAAGTGTGTATATTTTCACTACATTTGGCAGTCTTTCAGTTAACATTACAAGTCTTTCACAAAAAAAATCATTTTTAATTGAAGTATTTTTAATAAACTAAAATAAAGATTTGTCCATGAACATATTGAGTATTTGTTTTGAATAGTCCATATACAAAGTAATTTTCATGTTAAGATTAAAAATACTTTGATGAGTCAGCAGATTTTCAAATTTCACATGCAAAATCTTAATAATGTTGAGATAGTTATCAAATGT